CATGCTTTCTAAAAACACACGGCCTATGTTTTGAGGTGTTAATTGAGCTGAATTTTGTGAATTTGAATGTCAATTTATGTAAGTTATTTTTTAAATAAACTTAAAAAATTATTCAAACTTAACTTATTTATGGTGTGTTTCATAAAAAAAAAAAGTTGGGTGGATAAAAAAAGAAAGATGAAAAATAAGGGAAGAGGAAAGTATTTCATTTGTTTGGTTCCAATGGAAAAGAAAAGATGGTAAAAAAACGAAACACTCACGCCCACCATTTCTTATCCGTCAAGTTTTGGACGGAAAATTGGAGAGAGAGAGGCAGTCTTGTTGTTGAATAAATTAATTTACTAATTTACCTCCCTTGCATCAATGCCCTTAAAAGGTGTGCAGAGCATTCAAAGACACATCTCCACCTATTTGAGATTTATTCTTGATGATGTTATCCACGTGGAAATGGATAGGTTGCTTAATAAATTATTTTAACAATAATTTTTCTTAAACTTCCTCAAATATTATGTTTTTTCAACCCACTTTATTTCTTTTTTTTTTCCCTCTGACCAAAAGGAATATTTATTGAAAAGTTTATTTGTAATAGAAAAATACTTGTTATATTTAAGGGTAAAATGGTAAAATAAATTCATATTTATTTTATTTTCTTTCTTTTATTTTCCTTTCCTTTTTACTTCGATACAAAATAAAAGAAAATCAATTATTATAACTTTCTATCCATTGTACCAAATAAAATAAAAAAGAGCGAAAATGTGTTCTTTTTTTAATAGATGGAAAGTTTATCCATCTTAAATTTCATTCATCCTATTTTTCATCCCTCATGCCAAATTGATCATTAAAAAATAAGTTAAATTCGAATAATTTAATTATTTTAAAGATAAATGAACCAAACTTTATAAATTTGGGTTAAATCTTTTACACTCATTTTTTAAAATAAATTAAAAAAATTATTTAAGCCCAACTTAATCTTATTCGAGCGGGATATTCCTACAATCCTACTCACNTAAATTTGATATTATATCCCTTACTATTTCTTTGCGTATTCATACCATTTTCTCGATAGAGTTTATCAACTTGTGAGTTGTATACACTTTTGGGGTTTACTAGCTATTTTTTGGGTGAAACTGGTTGTTTTTGGAGTAAAACTTAAAAAACTTTTTTGGGCTTTTTTTCCACCGTATGATTAGATGTGCCAAAATATGATATAACTTATTAATACGGTACGAACACGGCACGAACACGGCCTAAAATTAGAGAGTTTTGATCTTCTTTAAACTATCCGTTTAGTAAACGAGTTGACCAGACATAATATAATTAATAAATGAATTGGGTATATGTAAAGTCAATTAGAAGAAATACATAACGTGACTCTTTTATATATTAATTATACATGATTCGTACACGACATGAATCCGATATGACATGATTCGTTAGACATAAATTAATAAACGAATCGAATATAAGTGGAATATTATTTGATACGAACCTGTCTCACGATTGACAAGTCTAAGTATGGTACCAAAAAGTGAACCTCAGTATAGTAGCGTTTAACGTGATATTATTGTACAAAATAAAATTTGTACAAATTTTTTTTTTTTTTTTTGAGATTTAATTTTAAATTTTTAGTGTAAATTGCAATTAAATGGGGTCAAGTTATGAAAAAATTAAATTATTAGAATCAAATCCTAACACAATCTTATTTTACCATAATCTTACTAAATTAAATGGTGATCTTACTTCTTATGTTGCAACTTGGTACAGTGGTCCTAGCTACCCACAAATTAAAAGATATTTTTGCATTTTGAAAATGCATTTGTAGAAAACAACAAGAAGTTTGTGACAAGGAGATGAAATATGACCACAAGAGCTTAAGGACTACAGATTAATCACAAACTCTCTTGCAAATTTGTATGGACCCCTGGGTTATTCATCATGTGCCATTATCTGACACTTTGGTTTGTTTTGGGGGGTGTTTGGCCTCTGTTGAAACTCTGTCCTGCTTTACCCATGTAAATAGGAAATTATTTCCAATGATATATGCCATTTTTTTCCAGGTTCGGTTACGGTACTGAAAAATAAGGTTTTTTTATTTTTTATTTTTCAGTACTTATTAATTTTTTCAACCAATGATACCAAATCTCCACATAAAAATTAATGATTCGGATCAAAATTCAGCACCGTACCTCTGTAGCCTTATTTTTTTAAGATAAAGTTTTTTATGTGAAATCCAACTGCTCCACAATTACACCATGCATTGTTCTATAGAGCTTCCAAATGCCTAATTCAAATGAATCCTGCATGCATGATGCGGCAAACAATGGACAAGGACCATGAACACGGCCCCTAGTGGATTTGGCCCAAGTCCATCGTTAAATTTGATTGCTGTGAGCATCAACATTATCAATTTGATTATCTTAATTGTCTTGATTGAATCTTCCACTGCACTTTGATTTTTGGTTTATTTTTTCCTGATCTGGAAAATCGGTTTCGATCAATAAGTAGTATCTTTCTTGCAATTCAAGTCATGGATTTGAAGTTCACAATTGACCTAATGACCACCGGCTTTATTGTTAGACCTTAAAGTAATGGGGGTTCAAATCTCGTCGTTCGCCTCCCTGTAAAAATGTCTGACCAAAAAAAGAAAATCGTGGATTGAAAAAAAGCATTAGTGGAGAAGCCACCCTAAAGTATTAACACTAAACTGCAGAATATTTATTGGGCTAAATATTGATCCATGTTTTAACCATGGATGCAGTAGTTGGGCTTAGTACCAGCAATGTCTCTTGGGTCAGGCTATAGTCAGGTTTAAAGTCACCTTAACATTGACTTGGGCTGATGCCTTCTGGTCCAGTGTGGCATCTTAGTGTATGTTAAAGGACTAAACACTATATTATATTAAGCATCCAGCAAAATGAAAAACGGGCCCACAGCTGCTGCACAATTGTGGGCTAGAAAATGGGCCCTTCAACCACCAGAACCATTCCGGGTACGGGGCAACCTAANTTGATACAAATTTCTATCTTTGAGGGTACAAATTGAGATTTTTGATCTTTGGGGGTACACATTGATACAAATTTCTATCTTTGAGGGTGTAAATTAAGATTTTTGATCTTTGAGGGTATAAATTAAGATTTGAACAATCTTTCAGGGTACAAAATGAGATTAACCCTAATAATTATCTGTCTCTTTTCTGTTTCTCGTCTTCGGTCCTGTTTCTTGCAGCTTCGTTTTCTTTCCTGCCTTGNACTACCCCTCCCTATATCAAAATAACTAATTCATGTGTAAAAATGAAATTCATTTTATTTATTTAATTACTTTTTTATTAAATAATGGCATCATCACGTGCCATTATAGATACTAAATATTTACTCAAGTGCATGACCGGTACAAGTACACATGCTTTCTAAAAACACACGGCCTATGTTTTGAGGTGTTAATTGAGCTGAATTTTGTGAATTTGAATGCGAGTTTATGTAAGTTATTTTTTAAATAAATTTAAAAAATTATTCAAACTTAACTTATTTATGGTGTGTTTCATNTAATTTTAGGGGTTTTGTTCGTTGAAATTGTGAGAAACCCTAATTATGAAAAAAAAAACCTTCGCTTTTTGAATAGTTCTGATTTTTTTTTGGTTCTTTGTTTAATGGGGATGGAATTGAGATATGTTTGGTGTTGAATTTGAATTGTGCTACGTTGTAGGAAAGNAAAGAAAGATGAAAAATAAGGGAAGAGGAAAGTATTTCATTTGTTTGGTTCCAATGGAAAAGAAAAGATGGTAAAAAAAACGAAACACTCACGCCCACCATTTCTTATCCGTCAAGTTTTGGACGGAAAATTGGAGAGAGAGAGGCAGTCTTTTTGTTGAATAAATTAATTTACTAATTTACCTCCCTTGCATCAATGCCCTTAAAAGGTGTGCAGAGCATTCAAAGACACATCTCCACCTATTTGAGATTTATTCTTGATGATGTTATCCACGTGGAAATGGATAGGTTGCTTAATAAATTATTTTAACAATAATTTTTCTTAAACTTCCTCAAATATTATGTTTTTTCAACCCACTTTATTTCTTTTTTTTTTCCCTCTGACCAAAAGGAATATTTATTGAAAAGTTTATTTGTAATAGAAAAATACTTGTTATATTTAAGGGTAAAATGGTAAAATAAATTCATATTTATTTTATTTTCTTTCTTTTATTTTCCTTTCCTTTTTACTTCGATACAAAATAAAAGAAAATCAATTATTATAACTTTCTATCCATTGTACCAAATAAAATAAAAAAAGAGAGAAAATGTGTTCTTTTTTTAATAGATGGAAAGTTTATCCATCTTAATTTTCATTCATCCTATTTTTCATCCCTCATGCCAAATTGATCATTAAAAAATAAGTTAAATTCAAATAATTTAATTATTTTAAAGGTAAATGAACCAAACTTTATAAATTTGGGTTAAATCTTTTACACTAATTTTTTAAAATAAATTAAAAAAATTATTTAAGCCCAACTTATTTAAATCGAGCTCACGACTAATCTTATTCGAGCGGGATATTCCTACAATCCTACTCACGTCAACCCCCCAGCCTCTCCAACTGTCATTTATAGGTCCCCATTATCAAGTAATCCTTTCCCCGACTCGAAACAAACGTCCAAGATTTGTCCACGTCATTCTCTCGGCACATAATGTTTCAAGCCGCCCAATTTGAATAATAATAATAATTATCTGTCTCTTTTCTGTTTCTCGTCTTCGCTATAGAAGGTCCTGTTTCTTGCAGCTTCGTTTTCTTTCCTGCCTTAGATCTAGCGAGAGAGAGAAACAGATTCGTCGATCTTTCCAAATTCTTCCAAGAATCTTTCATGGATACATCGCCATTCAATTCTACTAGAGTTTCTTCTGTTCGTTCTCAGCGCTCCCATCTCTTTTTATCGAAAACTTTTCATCTTTTGTTTCGTTCTCAACCTTGTAGTCCCTTCTGACTGTATCTTCTACGAGTTCACATCGATGGGTAAACGTAAGTTTTATGCCTACGTATATGTTATTACGCTTTTATTTGTTTCAATTTTCCAATTCTCAATCTATTAATTTTAGGGGTTTTGTTCGTTGAAATTGTGAGAAACCCTAATTATGAAAAAAAAACCTTCGCTTTTTGAATAGTTCTGATTTTTTTTTGGTTCTTTGTTTAATAGAGATGGAATTGAGATATGTTTGGTGTTGAATTTGAATTGTGCTACGTTGTAGGAAAATCCCAACGTAAGAATGCTGCGACGTTGGATAACGACGACACTGATAGTGTGAGTTCCTCGTCGACTGTCCGGTCGGACCATATGCTGGTGTCTGGTGGTGAGGAAGTTCAGCTTGATAAAGAGAGTATACTTGATCAATGTTTGGATGCTTTATATGAGAAGAGGTACTTAATTAATGTTTAATCCAAATTTATGTGTTTGTCTTGCATTTATAGTTTTGATGTAGGAAGTAATAAAACCTAATTTTTTGTGTGATTCATCAAGTTTGAACAGTGGTATATTTATGAGCCTAATGCTATCTTCTCATATATGTGTGTTTCGTATAGGGGTTCCACGAGAGAGAAAGCTTTGGCGTCAATTATAGAAGTCTTTAATAGCAACTTACAACATGAGTTTGTGGAAATGAAGTAAGCTTATGTGCTGTTTTCATCTTTTCATGTTATTTTGTTTGGTCTGCTTTTATGATCTCTTAGGCTAACATGTGAGCATGTTTGAAAAATTCCCCTTGGAGAAAAGGTGGGTCAATTGTGCTCTGTTTTAGTTGCATATCATTTTTTTCAGATTTGAAGTTGCTTTCCGATGTAGTTTCCAAAAACGTTCTGAATACCCATTGTTGTTAGCAAGCAGTCTGAATGAACTTTCATTTGATTCCCCAATTCACTCCACGCCACCAATCTGAATATTTCTTTTTTCACATTGTTTCTTGGGTTCTTTAAGCCTGTTTAGTGAAATTGGAATAAGTATAAGATGAGAAAACAAGAAGAGGAAGCTATTAGGCATTGATCCATCCTTCTGACTGTTGGTCTGATTTCAATAATATACCTAGTCTTACGAGGTTTCTCACATTGATGTGGTGTTTATTTCCTTAGGTTTGCAACATTGCTGCATCAATGTCTGAATTCCCTCAAGAAGGGATCTGCAAAAGAGATAGCTTTAGCATCTCATGCAATCGGTTTGTAGTATTTTACTCTGCTTTGACATGCTTGTTATAATAGTTGGTTTGGAGCAATTTTAGAAGGTTTTGCTTTCTTTGTTAGGGTTGTTGGCGCTCACAACTGGTCCTGGGGACAAAGCAAAAGAAATATTGGAAGAATCAGTGTCTCCTATTTCAGAGGCTCTTAAATCACGGTCTGAAACATCAAAGATATCATCGGTATGAATGATTTCAATGCATTGATTACTTGATTTCATNGTGAGTTCCTCGTCGACTGTCCGGTCGGACCATATGCTGGTGTCTGGTGGTGAGGAAGTTCAGCTTGATAAAGAGAGTATACTTGATCAATGTTTGGATGCTTTATATGAGAAGAGGTACTTAATTAATGTTTAATCCAAATTTATGTGTTTGTCTTGCATTTATAGTTTTGATGTAGGAAGTAATAAAACCTAATTTTTTGTGTGATTCATCAAGTTTGAACAGTGGTATATTTATGAGCCTAATGCTATCTTCTCATATATGTGTGTTTCGTATAGGGGTTCCACGAGAGAGAAAGCTTTGGCGTCAATTATAGAAGTCTTTAATAGCAACTTACAACATGAGTTTGTGGAAATGAAGTAAGCTTATGTGCTGTTTTCATCATTTCATGTTATTTTGTTTGGTCTGCTTTTATGATCTCTTAGGCTAACATGTGAGCATGTTTGAAAAATTCCCCTTTGAGAAAAGGTGGGTCAATTGTGCTCTGTTTTAGTTGCATATCATTTTTTTCAGATTTGAAGTTGCTTTCCGATGTAGTTTCAAAAAACGTTCTGAATACCCATTGTTGTTAGCAAGCAGTCTGAATGAACTTTCATTTGATTCCCCAATTCACTCCACGCCACCAATCTGAATATTTCTTTTTTCACATTGTTTCTTGGGTTCTTTAAGCCTGTTTAGTGAAATTGGAATAAGTATAAGATGAGAAAACAAGAAGAGGAAGCTATTAGGCATTGATCCATCCTTCTGACTGTTGGTCTGATTTCAATAATATACCTAGTCTTACGAGGTTTCTCACATTGATGTGGTGTTTATTTCCTTAGGTTTGCAACATTGCTGCATCAATGTCTGAATTCCCTCAAGAAGGGATCTGCAAAAGAGATAGCTTTAGCATCTCATGCAATCGGTTTGTAGTATTTTACTCTGCTTTGACATGCTTGTTATAATAGTTGGTTTGGAGCAATTTTAGAAGGTTTTGCTTTCTTTGTTAGGGTTGTTGGCGCTCACAACTGGTCCTGGGGACAAAGCAAAAGAAATATTGGAAGAATCAGTGTCTCCTATTTCAGAGGCTCTTAAATCACGGTCTGAAACATCAAAGATATCATCGGTATGAATGATTTCAATTGCCATTTGATTATCGTGATTTCATTTGGTATTTTATGTTCACATGAGATACTGATGCACAAATCTGTAATTTTATGGATTGTGCTTTCATGATTCTAGTTACTAGAGTGTTTGGCTATCATCACTTTTGTTGGTGGTGAAGAGCCGGAGGAAACAGAAACATCAATGCAAATAATGTGGCAATTGGTTCATCCAAAACTGGGTCCTAATGTATGTATCCACATCTTATAATTTCAGTTTAAACAACGTCTTATCACAACTTGTTTACATGCGTTTTGTATTTATGCCTTTGTTCACAACTTGGTGTATTATGTCGTGGATGAAGCAATATTACCTGCTTTTTGTCTGTGTTTTAGTTGGCAAGTTCACTAGTTGTTTTCTAGTTATATATTTTATTTGTTTGCAATGGTTGTGATCAATGTAATTCCCATCAACCTACCGAACATTGATACATAATGCTGCTTGTCTTCATGTATTGGTCAATCAATTCGTGTTAATTATTTTTGAATGACGTGATGAATAACTAAAGCTGTTTTGAATTTCAGGTTGTTGCCACTAAACCTTCACCAGCTTTAATAACAGCAGTGGTATCTGCTTGGTCCTTTCTGCTTACAACTTTGGATGGATGGACGCTGAACCCTAAAAGTTGGCAACAGTGAGTAAATCTAGGTCTTAGCAGAGTGATTTCACTCTCTCATACAAATATTTGTGTGCTTGTATGCACCTGGCCCTAATGCACCTATTCNTTTGCCATTTGATTATCGTGATTTCATTTGGTATTTTATGTTCACATGAGATACTGATGCACAAATCTGTAATTTTATGGATTGTGCTTTCATGATTCTAGTTACTAGAGTGTTTGGCTATCATCACTTTTGTTGGTGGTGAAGAGCCGGAGGAAACAGAAACATCAATGCAAATAATGTGGCAATTGGTTCATCCAAAACTGGGTCCTAATGTATGTATCCACATCTTATAATTTCAGTTTAAACAACGTCTTATCACAACTTGTTTACATGCGTTTTGTATTTATGCCTTTGTTCACAACTTGGTGTATTATGTCGTGGATGAAGCAATATTACCTGCTTTTTGTCTGTGTTTTAGTTGGCAAGTTCACTAGTTGTTTTCTAGTTATATATTTTATTTGTTTGCAATGGTTGTGATCAATGTAATTCCCATCAACCTACCGAGCATTGATACATAATGCTGCTTGTCTTCATGTATTGGTCAATCAATTCGTGTTAATTATTTTTGAATGACGTGATGAATAACTAAAGCTGTTTTGAATTTCAGGTTGTTGCCACTAAACCTTCACCAGCTTTAATAACAGCAGTGGTATCTGCTTGGTCCTTTCTGCTTACAACTTTGGATGGATGGACGCTGAACCCTAAAAGTTGGCAACAGTGAGTAAATCTAGGTCTTAGCAGAGTGATTTCTCTCTCTCATACAAATATTTGTGTGCTTGCATGCACCTGGCCCTAANGCTGAACCCTAAAAGTTGGCAACAGTGAGTAAATCTAGGTCTTAGCAGAGTGATTTCACTCTCTCATACAAATATTTGTGTGCTTGTATGCACCTGGCCCNAAGTGGGAGAATAAAAAGTTGGAAGGATGAAAAATTAGGTGATAAATAAAACATCATGTTTGGTAAGAAAAGAAAGTAGGAAAGATGTAAAAGTGGATGAATTAACTTTTTTTCTAATTCACCAAAGTCAATCCCTTCAAAATCGGTGGATGAAAAGTTAATTATTTGCGTTGAGATGTATTTTATTTATCTATATATCTTTTTATATATACATATATTATTTATACATTAACTTCATATAAAAATACAACAGTAAAATANAATAATGCACCTATTCCCATATATTTCATTGCTTCCATAAGTGGGTGTCCAAATTCTGCTGGTTTTAAGAAAACACTTGTACCTATATACCAGGCACCGTTAGACTGCCAGGCTCCATTACACCCAGGTGCCAACTGATGGATTGCAAAAGGTGGTGGAACCGAGCTTTGGCCTAGGGGGGGCATCCTCCTCCCCCCTTCCCCCTTCTCTCAACTTTCTAGAATTATAGTTATACCTCTTAAATTTGCCCCCTTAATTTGAAAAATTATACTTCAACCCAAAAATTATATTCTTGTTTTTCACTTTACATAGCCCCTCAAGTTATCAAAGTTATATTTTATATACTTAAATTGTGATCTTGGTTTTGCTTTACCACTCAACTATTCATTTAAACACATTGCACCCCCTGAGTATTCGAAATAGTCTACTGAACTGTATTAGTCCAAAATGTAATAATTTGAGCAAAATTAAAATTTAAAAGTTCATGCAAAAAGTTAGCAATTTGAATGGTTTATGGTGCAACGACTTCAATTTAATAATCGAAGGAAAAAGATTCAATCAGGATAATAATTTAAGAGAACAAAGTGTAATTTCTCCAAACCGTATATCTAGGAATCAATATTGTATAGAATATGTATTTAAGAGATATGTAAATACTCTATCTCATTTTGTTTGGATTTTCACACGTTGTATTGGCCTAAAAAAATTTAATTGTACCAAGTGATTATATAATGAAATTAAACTAAAAAAATTTATTTTTTATGAATGAATCTAAAATCATCTTGCATGTCATTGATTTGACATATTTCAATTAATGTTTTGATTTTTTGAAAATTAACTTATACTATAATTAATCCTGTGAAAGTTATTTTCATAGTTTCTATACAACAAAAAATTTGGCGCTAATGATAGCTCATTGAATAAATTTTTTGGACTATGATACTATTTGCCCCCCCACGATAAAATCTTGGCTCTGCCCCTAATTGCAAGGTCAACAATGGGTGCCTAGCAAATTCTGTGAGAAAATTACTTACCCTTTGTGCAAATGATCCAGGTCCATTTCTTATTTTTCTACTCTGCTAGACAAGGACGACAGGTCTGTACGCATTGCAGCTGGTGAAGCCCTTGCTTTAATTTTTGAGACCGGAAATTTGGAGAAGTTCTGTGGTGAAGTTAAAGTATCTGGTGACATCTCCATTACTGAAGGAAACAATTATCGGGAATTTGTACATATCCGGGGGTTGAGGGGAAAAATCCTAAATCAAGTGAGAAACCTTGCTGCGGAGGCAGGTGGTAAAGGTTCTGCTAAGAAAGATCTTAACAGCCAGCGGAACTCATTTAGAGATATTCTGGAATCTCTTGAGGTACTTCATCAGTTTCTGAACAGGGTCTGTCCTTGTATGTTAGCTTGTATACTGATCCTTATTTAAATGAACGACAGGATGGCTATAGTCCAGAAACTTCAACGAAGATTGGTGGAGAGTGCCTGAACATAGCAACGTGGGCTCAATTGATACAGGTTCCTCCTCTTCTTCCTTTTGATTTTTTATTGTGGATGCCCCCACGTATTCAATGTTTTCCTAATCTCAGCTTCTTCACAGTTGAACTTTCTGAAGCGCTTTCTTGGGGGCGGATATGTTAAGCACATGCAGGTTCTTTTTCTTGTCCATATCTTCTTTGGGCTAAAAGGTCCTTGTTCATTTGGTGTATGTTCTCGCCATCTCAATTGCTCTTTTCTTTTTGTTTGGATCCAAATAGGAAAATGAATTTCTTCACAATGTATTTGGTTTCACACCAAAGACGAAGCTTCTTTCGAGGAGTGAGCATCATATATCTGCTCTTGAGAAGGTTAGTTTGCACCATTCCCACTGCAATCTTTTTATTGTTCATACCTATAAATCTGTTGCAGAGTTTGTTGTGCTGATAAATAGGTATTTTCATCATTAAAACATCTGTATGTATTTCTTTTGTGTCATGATGTGCTATGAGGACATTGCCCTTGTTACAGGTGGATTCATTAACCGAGATGTTGTTCATATGTGGAGATCTACTAATGTAGTTACTATCGCTGTTTAGTTTAATTTGGTTCAAGGTAGTGTGCATGTAACGCACACAATGCTGGTTTGCATCTCACAGTTGAATATGCTTTTACTTAGCAAATGAGATTTGTCTTGGCATGCTTATACAACTTTGAATGTGAGGTCGCTTAGTTATTTGATGGGCTTCTGAATATACATGGCAGTTCTATTCTCGTGCTTTATCAGTATAAATATTAGCGCCGAAAGCATATTCAAGATAATGTGAGCGAAGAACCTTAATTCTCTCTTTATGGATAGTATTCTTCTTTGGGTTCTGTATGCTTTGTTGTTGGCCAGTTGCTTTGGGTATGTGTTTGCCATTCTCTGTGTATTTATATCAGGTTGAGACTTCTTTAGATGAGCTTCCACGTGGTTTTGCTTGCTAGCTTCTGCTAAGCCGCCTCCTCCCCTCTTCCCGTCCTCTCACACAGACACGTAAATGTAATTAATAATCTTTTTATGCAGAGGATGTACAAGTCACCAAACTCAGTTCTTAATAAGGCAAGGACCCAGTTGTTGAACAAGCAGCGAATGTTGTCCCAGGTAATTTCTTTTCAGTAGATGGTGGTCAGTGGTCACTTCTTCCTTTGCCTGCTGTTTAGTTGCATATTGAGTTGTAAATTCTAATAAGAGTAGGAGTATTAAGATGGTTTAGACCAAGGATCAAACTTTGTCATGCTTCTGCCTCTAC